CCCCCCCCCCCCCCCCCCCCCTGTAATAGACCTGAGGCATGAATTCAGGTTGGAGCACGGGCATTTGTGTGCAGGAGCAAGATGGTGCTGGATGTGAGCTTGAGTGTGGAGGGGGGAGGTAGGGGATGAGTCATGACGTCCAAGCTGGAGCTATGGTTCAGGTCAAACATACTGTTCTACCTGGAAATGAAGAGTGAATGAAGCCGCAGTGTCGGAGATAGAATATTGAGCATCCTGACTGTTCGTTCAAGATCTCCCTGAGTTCCTAAGAGGCTTTGAGAGATGTTTATTTATTAGCCATCTTCCACAGTAACAGTCATAATGCCTCTCCTTTCATTCTGAAATAATTTCACTTCTCTAAGAGCCTTAGTGGGATTACTGCTATGCTGAGGAACAGGCTTTAGCTTCATACAAGGAGACCTGCCCATGAAGGTTTACACTGAAGATTACCCCATGAGAGGGTTGGCTGACTGGATTACACTGTGGTATTAGACCCAATAAAACTGTCAGCATCCCTTAATTTACTCAACATTTACTCAGCTGAAATGTGCGAATTGGATTAATTCTCTCTTTTATAGTGCGATATTTAATGCATAATCAGAAGATAATCAAATTAAATGCCCACACAGTGTTCTGGATTAGTAAAGCCATGTTCATTTTTAGCTGAAATACAAATTGAGCATCATCCTGTCTTCTGATTGGACAGACACATTGATGCCAGGTTGTCACCTGAGTCAAGTCCAGTAATGGCCTCCCAGGTATCTCAGCTGCAACAGCATTTACTGTACCTGTCGCTGCACCCAGAGCATTAAGCTAACTGACAAGCGGAACAGTTCTGATACAAAAGGTCATTCTTAAGAAGATGACAGAAACAACCACCTTCACGTGCAGCCTTTAAACTTCTTAATCACGTAGTCTGACATTCATGGAGCACAGGACGTTTGGATGAAGTCAAATTTGTTGGGTTTTGTGCAACAGTAGTCTTTAAATTATTTAATCTTTAACAGGAGTGAGCAATGTGGAAATCACATCACAGTAAATAACATTATGATTTGATACATATAATAATATAGGGGTGAGTGATGTAACAATACTGTGAGATAAAATATCATTTTTTCCCTTGAACATCTTTGGGTGTATTCAAACTTCACATTACTGCCATTTAGTCGGAGACACAGAACACTTAGATGGAAAACAGCTTGCCTCAGCAGGAGTTTTGTTCCCTCTGCAACAGCAGCCCTGAACAATCTGCCTCGCTGACACTGTTGTGAGCTGGGACGAATGTGTGCATCCATGAAGATTTCTGTTCATCTGTATGTTGCTGTATGTGTATCTACATTACATTACATTACATTACAGTCATTTAGCAGACGCTTTTATCCAAAGCGACTTACAATTCAGATTCTATCACATTTCTACACCGTAGGCACAGCTACGGGGGCCGTTTTTGGGGTTAAGTGTCTTGCTCAAGGACACATCGACATGCGACTAGCAGCCGCCGATCAAACCGCCGACCCTCTGATTGAAGGACGGCCCTGCTCTCCACTTAGCCACATTCGCTACTCTATGGAATCTATAGATCATAAAATCAAAGTTGTTTTTCAGTTATTTTATTTGTGTAGTTCTTTTATCCATTAACACATTCTCAAATGAATGTTATGTCACAATGTGTTTACAGTAGATATTGTGATCTGCACTGCAACTAACAATTATTTGAAAAAGGCAAACGTTGACATATTCGGTCATCTTGTCATTTTGTCCGACCAGCACTCCAAATCCCAAATATAAGTATAATTAATACAAGTATTCAGTTCACTATCAGAAAAGAGTAAGAAACACAGAAAATGTTACTTAAATTACTATTTGTTTATCAGAATGGTTGCTAATTATTTCTATTTTCATTGATAATTGATTAATAGACTTATTGTGTCAGTTCTTATTGTGGTATGACGTCATTTGTACCATTTTAGAAGATTTTATCGATGTCACGATGTAGTTCATTTTCTGGGAAATCAATGGAGAAACTGTTAAACTGATGAAACAGCGATGTCTTGTTGTTGTTGTTGGCTAATCCCGGAAATTAAATAATCTACCAAATCCAAGTACCTCATCGCATTGGTGCAAAACAAATAAAAAAGATATGCTATTGTCATTAAGAAGTCCTGGTAACTGATTGGAAAATTGCCTACGATGATCTAATACAGCACCATTTAAAAAAGACAGCTATTGCAGAAATGGTTCGGCTCAATCTTTTAACAGCTGACAACTTCATATCATCCTGCGATGTATATTCCTATACCAGCCGGGCCTACTCTTTAAGATCACAAACATTAGGGAATCACTATGGTATTACGAATACTCACTTACCAACAAAACATAAAGCCAGGCTGAAGCTAGTGAGCTTAGTATATGCTCCAACAAAACCCCAAACAGGAAGATCTGATTTATGAAAGCAATCAGACAAAGATTGTGTTTGTGTGTAGCCATTTTGACAAAAAAAAGGGAGGCTAAGGGCTACAGGTATGCTCAGCTTTAGTCAACCAGCTCTGTATTTATCAAGACAAATGACTGCAGCGTGAACCTGATCTTTCCAGTACAGAGAGGCTTTAAGAGAAGAGTAGTGGCAGACCCAAAAACATCTACAGGTTTTTATACAGAAGGTCTGGGACAGCATAAAGCTTAAAAGGATTGAGGAGGGAGAGAAAATGGAAGCACGAGCAGAAGGATAGTACGCAGGTTTTATGACTGAAGAATTAAATAAAAATGGTGAGTCATAAAGTCGCTGCGTAACCCCCCCCCCCCTTCCAACACCACATCCCCACCAACAGCAATTTCAGGCCTTGTGCTGGAATACAGCCATACAGATCCAATCACCTCCCACCCCCATCTGCCTCTCAATGCAGTAACACAAGAGGATTTGTTCGAAAAAAAAAAAACAAGAAAAAAAGAAAACCAGATCTCTCTCTCTCTCTCTCTCTCTCTCTCTCTCTCTCTCTCTCTCTCTCTCTCT